ATTTCGACGATATATTTACATGCTAATATTTCATTTCATGTTGTTTCATATATGTTGATATCAATAATATCATGTTTGGGAAATAATGATGTCACTTCTAGATTTGTTTCGAAGCAGACAGAAACCTGTGAAGGGTTTCTGCCTGTTTTGGTTGATCGCCCGCACAGTTTGTGCATGTTTACTTTTGTTGTGTGCTTTAATATAAACGAGGAGTCACCTCGAATGTTTGGCGTTAGAAATTATTGTTTATTATGTATCTTCATATGTGAGATGGCTTACGGACATGAGTTTAGATTTGCATACCGAGACACGTGTGAAATTAGTGTATATGCATCCTTTTCATATACCTCATCGATATTCTACACATTTCATTCAGTCCATGTGTTGGACAATTATTATGTGCAGTCCATATGTTGGACATTCATCATATTCAGTCAATGTGATTGACATTCATCATATTCAGTCAATGTTTTGGACATTCATTATATTCAGTCCATGTGTTGGACATTCATCATTTAATCCATGTGTTGGACAATTTATATATACAGTCCATCTGTTGGGCATCCACTACACCTAGTCTTAGTCCATGTGTTGGACACCTGTTTAAACCTTGAGTATAACACTTACACTTACATAGGCTGGACATGACACTTATGTGGGGTTTGACATAACATGGTATTTGAGTTCTGAGATGGGTTAGTCTTCTTTATATTATTGTTCCTGTATTAGATCTTGGGTTTGGTATTTAGGGATTTACAATTTGAGATACAAGGTATATACATGAGGGTTTCCTTGTTTGGATTATTTCGCTCGACATACATATGCTCGTGTTGTAATTTCCTAAATACTAAAATCCTCTTAGTGTTAGGATAAATGATTTCATGTATATATGTACTAACTGTATTTTCTATATGCAACGAGCCCTCTCCCTTGGGGTTGGTTGTGATGTTGCTCGCTAGCGCTTTGACGCTCGTTGTCCCCTCCCATTTCAGGTAACGAGCCAGGTGCACGGGGAGTCGCAGGTTGATGGCGATACTTATTTGCGTCCATCTTTCATTTGTAGTTTTATTTTATTTATAGAGCTTCACTGTAGACATTTTGTTTAGACATTTAAGAGTTATATTCTAGAAGTTGTAAAGGCTATGTGCCTTATTTCCTTTTATCACATATTCTGTATTTGAGACTTGTTGAGATCTCCAGACTAGTTATTTCAGAGATTCACTTTATATTTTTGTATGCTGGATGATGAAATATATCTCTATTATTTTATCATATATCTTTTGTATTATCTTTTACTTGCTTTTGTACCTACACATGTTGTTGACTCTACTAGAGAGATAGTAATTGTGATGGTGAAACATGTTATTGCACGGTGTGGTGCATGGCAGGTTTGACATTCCTGGTTTCACCTCGGACTGCAGCCTTGTGTGAACCCAGGGGCGTCACAGTTGGTATCAGAGCTCTAGTTTCAGTATCCTTAGGATCATCCTGTATCGAGTCGTGGAGCTAGGTTAGAGTTTTCTAGGATTTATGTATAGAGTCCGATAAGAATTTTCTAGTATGAGTGAGGACGATATATGCGTATATCTAAAAATTTGATAATATTTTTTTAGGACAACTATTTTAAGTTGATTGAAGGTATTTGCGTGAATACTATGTGTTATGAATTCATAATTAAGCTCTCCTTTCGATATTATAAATATCGAAACGAGGATGTGGTCGAGGTAAAACTCGTACCTGAAGAACTGGGCATGCAGAGCCGAGCCGCAGCAGGCTCCACAATATTTGATCGACTTCATGGCACCATTAGCAACAAGATCTTACAAAACTCGAGGAGCAAGAGGTGTATCCATTTTCGTCAGCAGTACCACTTTCAGGAGTTCCATCACCGGTTGTACCCGTCGTGAAAGTAAAGAGGTAATACCAATAAGGGCATCACTATCACCACAATCAGCTATTTATAAAGCCGTAGAGCAGGAAGTTTAGCTCTGAAAGAATAAGAAAGATATCAGACAATAAGAGCACCAGAGTTTCAAGGCACACCAATTTCAATTGTAACCTATAAGGGAAGGAGTATGTAAAAATTTCTTGAACGTCGACTTAGTATCAAGCAGAAGTTTGATGTATTCAGCATTGAGGACATCGTTGGAGGATAGCAACGACATCAAGATTTTTGACGGGGCAGCAATTATCACCTATTTGGGAGAATTTTAGTCACTACTTTAATAAATAGTTAGAGCTAGTCTAAGTGAAGCAGGGAGATATACCCTTAGTGAAGGAAGAAATCAAAACCAAAATAGTGACAATGACAATGGCAAGAGAACTATTACAGAATCTAGAGGATCCTAGCAGCGGGAGAATGATTTTAACCCAGCAACAAGGACAATATAAGAAAGGAGCACCATATGATTCGAGAGCGCCGAAGTAGCACAGAGTTTGGAGTACATGTTACAATCATAACAAGATCGAACAAAGAGTGAAAGATTTGTCGTAGTACACCAGCAAGAAACTAGCATGATAGAGGTCACGGTCGATAGTCTCATAGTCACAATTTCGTCTAGCAGCGGGGAAATAGAGACACTACTTGTTAATCTGAGGATTTAGGGGCCAGCAGGCCAGATTTGCATTTATCCAGGAGATTCGTGAAGGACAGATGGTCCCATATATGTTACACCACTAGCAGAGTTTATAAAGTAGTACCGCGTGATCAGGGTACGAGCGGAGCTTTCTTCGTGACTTCCTTTTCAGCTCGGATCTAGTTTGATTTAGGAAATTCGCTTATCTCTTATCTTTCATACCTTCGTTGATAGGTTTCAGCTTGTAGCACATTCCTTAGATATTCCGTTGTCAGTCTCTACTCCTCTAGGGGGAGTGTCCCTTCTATCTGTAGGAGATGTGTCATCAGACTAGATGAGTCTGAGTTAGTCATCGATTTGATAGTGTTGCATATGTCCGAGTTCGATGTTATCCTTGGTATGGATTGGTTATCTTTCTACCACGTTAGTATTGACTGCTTTACGAAGACAGTCAATTTGCGAGCATCCGATGGGTCCGAGATGATTGTAGTTCATGACTTAGTGGTTTTGTGCGTCATGAACAAGACTTAGTGACATGTGTGTGTGCATTGACTAAAATTAGGAGGTGAACCAGAGATCTAGTTCAGGTTATGATTGTTGACTTAGAAAAGCGAGAAGAGTTGGGATGGGGAAGTCTTGGTTCATGTGATCGGATGTGGCTATTGATGTATCTTCCAGGCTCGCACCAGTGAGTTTGTATAGCACGGGAGTTGGTTTGTTGGGTCAAAGTAAAGTTTGTGTAGTTACTTTGGTCCGTGAGTTTGACATTCACCCGAGTTTAGCTTGAGTCCGGACCAGGCTAAAAACGGATTGCGTGTAGTCCTCTGACCGAGTTTTTGTAGAGGTATTGGATGCATGTAGGGGATATGCCAACAATCATTTATCCGAGAATATGAACGTTGACTCTGTGTGAGATGTGGACCAGTGACCTGTTATAGAATGACTGGTTACATGACCTTGTTACTTAAGGTAATTATGGATTCTTGTGAGATGTAGGCTAGTTATATTTCTTTTTTATGGACTATGTATTTTTATATTTTTAGTTGGACCGTTTGTAATAAGGGCAAACCCAAAATCTGTGTCTCGGATGATATTCTATTTGTGATATGTCTCTTTTTCATTCTGAGTTGTTTATTATATTCTTGCTATGTGTGATCGGGGACCTGTGATTTCGCATTGTATATTGCTTGACGCTTAGCGTATTAGGTTGAGAAGAAATATTTATTTTTAATTATTCTCCTTAATATAATACGTCACGGGCTTATTCACGTTCCGATTCTCCAGTATTTTGGGAAGCGGGGCATGACACCTATACATTATTGATTAAAAAGTAAATCTGAAACCTTAAAATGATAATGTTGAACAACTCCCTATTCCAAAAGAACAAAATCAACAACCTCAAGAACCAGTGCCATGCATTAAGGAGATCCACAAGAGAAAGAAGCAATGCTATTCCGGATGATTATATTGTATTTCTCCAAGAATATAAGAAAAACTATGTAATGTTGGAAGATGATCCATTCAACTTCCTTCAGGCCATGAAAAAGTTCCAATTCTCAAAAGTGGATTGATGCCATGAATAAAGAGTACAAGTCTTTGCAAGACAATAAGGTTTGGAAACTTGTCTCATTGTCAGAAGGTGCAAAGCCAATTGGTTATAAATAGATTTTTTAAAATCAAGCAGGATGTAAATGGTAATGTGAAGAGGTATAAGGCACGTCTTGCGGTTAAAGTCTATACTCAAAAGGAACACATTGATTATATATAGTCTTTCTCTCCTTTTCATCAAAAGACTCTTTTAGAACATCATGACGCTTGTAGCTCATTTTGATATTGAGTTACATCAGATGGATGTTAAGACTGTATTTCTTAATGGTGACATTGATGAGATGATTTATTTGGTACAACCAGAAAACTTTGTGTCAGGAGACCCGAAGAATATGGCTAGCAAATTAAGAAAATCCATTTATGGACTCAAGCAAGCTCCTCGTCAATGGTATTACAAGTTTCAACAAATAATTATCTCATTTAGTTTTGATATGAATATTGTTGATGACTATGTATATCATAAGTTCAGTAGGAGTAAGTATATTTTCCTGGTTTTGTATGTCGATGACATATTGCTTGCCACTAATGATATAGGCATATTGCACGAAACCAAAAGATTTCTTTCAAAGATTTTTAAGATGAAAGATCTTGGGGACGCCTCTTTTATATTAGGAATCCAGATACATCGAGATCGTTCTCGAGATGAAAGATCTTGGGGACGCCTCTTTTATATTAGGAATCCAGATACATCGAGATCGTTCTCGAGGTATTCTTGGATTATCACAAAAGAGCTATATCCTACATCGAGATCGTTCTCGAGGTATTCTTGGATTATCACAAAAGAGCTATATCGATAAAGTACTCAAAAAGTTTGGCATGCAAGGTTGCAGAACAGGTGACACTCCTGTTGCTAAAGGATATAAGTTTAGCCTCAATCAGTGCCCTAAAGGTAACCTTAAAATTCAGAAAATGCAGAATATTTCTTATGCTTCGGCTGTAGAAAGTCTAATATATGCTCAGGTGTGTACCCGTTTGGATATTGCGTATATTGTTGGGATGTTAGGCAGATACTTAAGCAACACTGGTATTGATCACTGGATAATAGTCAAAAGGGTTATGAGGTATCTTCAGAAAATAAAAGATTATATACTCACATATAGAAAATCAGATCAGCTGGAGGTCATTAGTGTAATGACCGTAAATTTTTAATACGGGTTTAAATAATTTTCTGGTATTTAAATATTAAATATTATTTTTCTAAAGGAGTATTTGTATTTTCCCTACTCTAGAATTCTCTACGATTTAAAATACGATATTATATTATTTTAATAGTTTTGTTAATTATAAATTTAATTGTTTCTGTAAAATTTTTTAATTAATAGTTAATTATTCATTATTGTTATTGTTATTATTATTTTGACCATAAATTTTAATATCTATTTGAATAAATTTTCTGGTATTTTAATTTTTTAAATTTTATTTTTATTTAAAGGGGTATTTTTTCCTGTGTTTTTCTCTGCGGTGTTTCACTCTGTATCTCTCTCTCTCTCCATCTCTCTCATTCTCATTCTCCCTCTCTCCCTACCCCACTTTCCCTAAAACCCTCCCCCATGTTTCCCGCACACCCCAACCTCGTGATTCTCCCACTCCTCAAAAGAACCCCGAATTCATCTCTCTCCCTCTCGTTTTCAACTCTCTCTCTCGTTCTCTTCTCCCACGAGATTCTCTCTCCCCTCCTCAAAAATCTCCACTCCTTCTCTTTCACTCTCATTTTCTCTCTCTTTCTCACACTCAGCTCACATTTCTCTCTCCGTGCTCTCTCTCTCTCTGACACTCTCTCATCAAGCAAACCCAAGAAGCCTACTTCCTCAACCACCGCCATCATCTCTCCGCCCCTCCTCATCGCAACTCCAGCCTCTCCCCCATCACTCGAGCTCCCGACGGACCAGCGAGCACCAGCCAAGCTCCCGACCAAAAACACCGCCACCGCAAGCTCCGCCCAGCCTTGAGCTCCGCGCAACCTCCTCCACTTCAGCCCGCCGACCATCATCTCCCCCTCCCAGGCAAGGCTCCCGTCGCCGCCTGAGACCCGCGCGTTTCCAGCTCGCCGCCGCGAGCTCCGACGTCGCACCTCCGCTCCAAGACGCCGCTCGCCGCTGCTCCCCTGAGTTCGCCGCCGCCCTGAGCTCTTCGCCGCCATCGTCGAGCTCCCCCAGCTCGACCACCCCGAGCTCACTGCCCCTCTCCCCTCTCCGCTGTCAGCCGCCAACACTCTATCACCAGCTCCTCCACCTCCCTCTCCGCTCAAACCGCGCCCCTGATCGCCGTCACGAGCTCCGACGAGCTCCAGCAGCCGAACCTCCTCTTGCAGCCACTCAGACCGCCACCCCACCTCGTCATCGCTGCCTTTACCCTCGCCGCAGCTCCGCCGCTGCCCGACCCAACCGCAGACCCCTCCTCCCCCTGCCCACAACACCAACTCCACCCCTCGCCTCGCTGCAGCTCCTCCGCTGCGCCGACGGAAACCACCTCGCCGAGCCCAATCCCCGTCGCCGCTCGTCGTCACCCCCTCCCACCTCCGGCGAACCCGCACAGCGGGAAGAAGTTCCGAACAGCGAGCCGAATCAGTGAGTTCGCTGCAGAAAACTGCAGTTCGGAGCCGACTTCGCACGCGTTTTTCGGTCAACTCCGACCTCCGTTCCTGTCGATTCCTTCGCCGGTACGTAGCCCTTCGTGTTGTCTATCACACGGTATATTTCTTTCACTTGGGCTACCTATCTACACCTCATTATACTCGTTTGAATATTGCACGTCGCATTAACACTCAAATTGTAATTTTAGCCGTCGATTCCGCGAAACTCGTCGTAACGCTGTGCAATCACCCCGACGACCCCCACTACGGTCCACGATATACCCGAGGCAAGATCCCACTTGCTTATGTCTGAATTTTATATTTTTATGAGTTATCTGTAATTTTAGATCTGATATATTTATCTGCGTGGGATTGTTTGATGAATAATATTAGATAAATCGTCATTATGTGATAAATAGTATTTTCAAAATAATTATGATAAATTAAAAGAATTTATTTTGACAACTGAATTATTTTTTGGATAATTATATTAATTAAAAAGAATTTATTTAAGAACGAAATTATTTTAGAAAAATTATAATAATTTAAAAGGAATTATCGGGGAAAAAGAATTATTTTAGAATAATCATATTAATTTTTAGAAATTATCTTGTGGAAGAAATTATTTTAGAATGATAGATATTTTTAAAAAGAAATTATTTGGGAAAATAGAATATTTTGAATTAATGAGAATTTATCTTGTCTTTGAATTTATGAATTTTATTATTTAAAAGATTATTTTTAGAATTATTATAATGAGAAAAGAATTTATTTTAGAAAAAAAAGAATTATTTTGAAGTAAATAAATTATTATTTCAGAAGATTATTTTAGAACAATTTTATGATTCAAATTCTTAATTTTGATTATCTGATATGCTATGATATTATGATTAGCTGCATTGATTGTTCCTTGTTGTGATTGAGAATCGTTATGAGTTTATGACTACAGTGACCTGTGTGACATGAATAAGACCTAGAGACTTGTGTGTTGTTGACTTAGCAAAACGAGAAGAGTTGGGATGGGGAAGTCCGTGTTTATGTGATCGGATAAGACTGTTGATGTATCTTCCAGGCTCGCCCCATGATCTTGTGTAGCATTGGGGTTGGTTTGTTGGGTCAAAGTGAAGCTTGTGTAGTCACTTTGGTCCGTGATCTTGACATTCACCCGAGTTTAGCTTGAGTTCGGACCAGGCTGAAATCGGATTGCTCATACGTAGATCGGGATTAATATTTAATTATCTACAATTTGAGACTATGGTATATACATGAGGGTTTCCTTGTTTGGATTATTTCGCTCGACGTACTACGTCTCTTGTTGTAGATTTTTAAGTATTAATTTCATCTAGTGTATGACTATGTACTTGGATGATTATTCTGATCGCTAGCGACATGATCGACTTGTTACTTGGTTAATTTCCTTAGATTTATTCTGATTATTCTATTTTCTAATAGTAAATTATATTTAGATTATTAGTATTTTAGTTGCATGTTTCCATTTTTTTTATTACCATTATTGCATTGGTCGCACGACCGTTTCTATTCTTCCTTTTGGGATCTTGCCGTGCGCCATGCACGCTGACGTACTCCTTTCCTCTTGGGATGTACGTCAGATTTGGAGGACGGACAGCTACAGTTCGGAGTAGTACAGGAGCCAGAGGATCCTCCGCAGGAAGGCTTTGCAGATGGAGCAGAAGAACAAGTCGAAGCTTAGTTACCTCTTTACTTAGCTGATGATCCTAGTTTACTTTCCAGTACTTTTATTTTCGTTGGTCGATGTACTATTTTTATATTCCCCAGTATTCAGATAGTTTTGTATAAGGGCATGTTTAGCCCGAATATTATGTCTGGATGATCATTACAGTTGTGATATGTATCTTTTGGTTCTGAGTTGTTTATTATATTCTCGCCACTGTGATCGGGGACCTGTGCCTTCGCTTTATATTTGCTTGACGCTTAGCGTATTAGATTGAGCAGAAGGGGTCTAGTACTTATTTCTACTCAACCTAATACGTCGCGGTATTAGATTGAGCAGAAGGGGTCTAGTACTTATTTCTACTCAACCTAATACGTCGCGGGCTTGTTCACATTCCGATTCCCTGGTATTTTGGGAAGCGGAGTGTGACAATTAGGTACTCTGATTTTGATTTTGCTGGATGCCAAAATAGCAGAATGTATACATCAGACTACATTTATATGTTAGCAGGAGGAGCTATATTATGAAAAAGTGTCAAACAGACACTTGTAGCTTCATCCACTATGGCAGCAGAGTTTGTAGCTTGCTTTGAGGCATCCAATCATGGAATATGGTTACAAAATTTTATCACTGGACTACACATTCTAAATAATATTGAAACTCTTCATTAGCCTGTAAATTAAGATAAAATATGTTATTAGTGATATTGTTTGCGTCAAAAGTTGGTTTTGTCATGGAATTCATTATATCTTCAGTCGATTACAATAAATTCAAAGAAATAGTCTTTTTATAAGACCTCTTTTACACAACAAAATGAAAATTACAACTCTTGGGAAACAAACGCAGGATCGTTGTTTGGATCACTGCTTGCGTGGAATCTTTGCCTGTGCCGGGGGTGTGTTAGCCCGTGGACCACCAAATCACAGATTCTGATCGAATCGTGAGGAGTTTATGATTCTGACTTCGTTTATCGAAGTGAGAACTTGAAACGATATCTTATCAAGGTAAGATAGTCGTTCTTCTTGAAATCAAGTCAAAGCCTGAATATCAAGGAGTTACAGAAGCTCGAGTACTCTGCCCTCTCTGCTCTGAAATCAGCCTGTGGATGCTCTCTGATCAGCCTCCTTCAAAAATGGCCTTCGGGGGGTATTTATAACCCATAGGAACAGTTGGCGGAAAAAAATACTGTCTCGTGAACAGTAACCGTCTGGCAGTTTTTGTTGTAACTGCCTTCCCACGTTTTCAAACTTCGTTATTTTGGCAGTTGTCAACGTGATTCTCGCCCACAACGTTTCCCATGTTCTTTGGCAGTTAATTGGCACGTGTCGGCGGTTTATAAAACAGTTTCCGAGCCTTTGAGAACTGTCTCGCACGGAGAGACAGTAAACACTGTCTCGCGCGGAGAGACAGTAAATACTGTCTCGCGCGGAGAGACAGTAAACACTGTCTCGCGCGGAGAGACAGTAAACACTGTCTCGCGCGGAGAGACAGTAAACACTGTCTCGCGCGGAGAGACAGTAAACACTGTACGACGTTTCCCATGTTCTTTGGCAGTTATAGTGACCGTGTCGGCGGTTTATAAAATAGTTTCTGAGCCAGTGAGAACTGTCTCGCGCGGAGAGACAGTAAACACTGTCTCGCGCGGAGAGACAGTAAAGACTGTCTTTTTTCTTTGATTTTTTGATGATCTCCTCTTGAGCTGTATTTGGATATCTATTAGCATTTTTTGACGCCTACAGATATATTTATCCAACTAAGATAGATAATGAGGATATAAAAATATAATAAAATGTTATGATCATATTGACATATAATTTCGTGAATACTATATAAAACCCCAAAAGTTTGAATAAATTATGATAAATAGTAATAAGTATGTTATATGGTTATAAATAGCATATTTATATGCTTGAGTATGCTAGGGATTGATTTGAGATCAATCTAATGTATATATGTGAGTATAGATGAGAAACATGCATAAAATCATGCACAAACCTGAAACTGAGTTGTTAGTAGTCGACTACTACTCAGAGTAGTCGACTAGTAAGGTCGTTAGTCAACTAATGAAGGCATTAGTCAACTAATCAGACTATTTCTAGATTTCTTTTAGATTTCGGATCGGATTCGTTTTGTTTCGAACCCAATTGTATATATGCGTATATATACTCATTTTAAAGTTCTTTTTACCCTCTTTCACGTGAGATGTACACCATCCACCTTCCTCCTCAAACTCTAACCCTAATTTGTGAGTTTTGGGAGAGTTTTGAGGCATTTGTCGAGAGGAAGACGGAGTTTGGTGATCGTGGTTCAAGAGGAATCTTGCAAACACATGGTTGAGGAGTTCAACAGCACCTTGAGGCAAGATCATCTTCATCTAAACCCGCACCCTTAGTAATTTAATATTTAATATGTTTAAATCAATGTTTTGCATGTTTATTCATAGTTACATGTGATAAAAGGTAGCTTTTTTATAATAGATCTTTAACCCACGATAGATCTGACGTTTTTACTTGATGTTTACATTAGAAGCATGATCATAATAATTAGGGTTAATGATAATTTCATTTTTAATTTATTAATTAAGTTTAACCCATGTGCAAACCCTAGTTTGTTAATTTATCGAGTTTTTCGTGTAAATTAATCATGCTTAAACGCTAGATTGTAAGATCACAATGATATGAACGTATTTTAAACAAGCTTATCTCTGTTCAATGTTAGTTATAACCTTGTCCAAGTTAATCATGTGAAAATTAATGTTTTTTATGTGAGAATTTGAATAATTATGAAGTTAAACCCTAATCAGCGATTAATCCAAAAGTTAAATCATGTGAACTAATCTCTGGTTGTAAATTTCAGAAGACTAAAACCTTTTTCCTATGTTCCATGTAATTTGAATCAGTTTTGTTTAAGGAATAATCGCAAAAACATCAAAACCTGAGAAACAAAAATTTGTTTAACACAGAGTAGTCAACTAATAACATGTATAGTCGACTACTCCTTTCCTGGTGCGACTCATAGAAACGTTTTCATAGCAGAGTAGTCAACTAATGTTCATATTAGTCGACTACTCACAATCAGTCTAATTTTTCAGATTCTGGATGGACTCAGAGTAGTCGACTACTAAGTGAAGTAGTCGACTACTAAAGCTGTTTTCTGAGTTTGTGTTTTGTATCTATTTGAGATGTGTTCGCGGGGTTCGAGCCGCACTTCTTTACATGTAGATTCACAAATATATAAGTACAATGTCGGTGCACACACATGAGTATCCCACAGGGGAATATATCAATTGTTGGGTTGTTTATTGTTCATACAATCGTTGGATATCGTTGATGAGCACAGCTCAATACTATATGGGATAGTGCATAGATATACCAGATTTATATAGTTAATACATAAGATAAATATCGTTGATGAGCTCAGTTTAGTACTACGTGGGGTAGTGCGTCGATATTCTATTTGTACATGCCATTGAGTCAGGTTTGGATGCTTTGTCTAGTAGTCCGTCCGCACGAGGGTGCGATGTGGTTTGTGAGCCATCTTTTTGGATACCTATATGGTAGGTCGTCCCACACTCATATTACGCACTGAGATCGTGATGAGACTAATGAGCCGTGTACACTGTTTAGGATACCTACAGGGTAGTCCGTTGCACATGATGATGCTAAGTTTCAGAATCTTACAAAGAGTTGCCCTGAGATAGCTAATTGATAGCCTGAGTCTTTGGTAGATGCCATCTATGAATATGACTCATCATTGAGATATATGACCAAGATACTTTACTTTTGAAAGTATACAGGTTTATATATTGGTATTTATTCTATCTCCCCAATGATAGTGGAGGATAATATAAATACAATGTATTGATGTTTTTATTTCCTTTATTGCTTTCTTTATGCCTTAGTTGGGATTAACGATTTTCGATTCACAATTTGAGACATATGGTATATACATGAGGATTTTCTTGTTTGGATTATTTCGCTCAACGTACCAGTTTCGTGTTGTGGATTTCTAATTATTAATTTCATTCAGTTCGTATACTCTTAGTTCGGTATTAATATTTAGATATCTATAATTTAAGACATATGGTATATACATGAGGGTTTCCTTATTTAGATTATTTCGATCGACGTACTATGTCTCATGTTATAGGTTTCTAAATATTAATTCCACTTAGATATACAAGAAAAATAATCTAGTTAGACTATGCTTATAGATAGAGCCTCCACTCCATCTAGTAGTCCTTCCCTTGGGGGCGGATGAATGTGATCTTGCTGTAGCGTTCTGACGCTCTTTATGTGGTTTTTTTTTGTTATTTTCTCTTCTTTCAGGTAGTACAGAGGTTCGGAGAGCCGCAGGATGACAGAGTTCTTACATAGTCGCCGTCATATGAGTTATTAGTAGAGGCTCCACAGTAGATTTTTGTAATTTTATTAAGACTTTAGAGTTTTATTTCATATTGTAAAGGCAGTGTGCCTTAGTACGATTTTCAGTTGATTCATGTTGAGACATTTTTATTCTTCCATATATCAGATGTATTATAGTGAGGCATGATTTTATTTATGAGATATCTCTTTCCATATCATGTCTATTACGTTTACTTCTCTATTTTGTCTGTTTTGTACCTATACTTCTTTTAATTCTACTAGAGGATATTACTATGATTGCAGAAACATGTTATTACACAGTGTGGGTGCATGACAGGTTTGACATCTCTGAGTTCACCTTGGACTGCAGCCTTATGTGAAATTAGGGGCGTCACATACAAAAATTCAAAATTTCATGACCTGTAACCCATGATTTTTATCATTTTTAGTCATTTCTATTAGGACTCATGTGGTGAGCCTAATTCTGTAATCTTGTTTTGATGATTTAACAAACAATTTTTAACTATGTATTTCAAATGAAGCTATAATCAAGTCAAAGATTCAAGAGAGCAAGCTTCTCATATTTCACTTGGGTATATTAGTATAAGTCTTATATATATATATTGTGTGCAAATTCTTCAAACTCAATATTACACACACATATTTATGATTTTTCTCAAAACATAGGTGTTTTTATGTAAATACTATATTAGTATATTATGGACTAAACAATCATTATAGACATCTTTCCATTAAGTCCATAAAAATATTTCAAAAGGTTTCAAAACAAGTTTTAAGTCAAAAATC